TTATTTTGATTCTTATACTCTCTTATGTGTTGAAGAAGAAAATGTTTGACAACAAAGGACATTTAGATCGAAAGAAGATGGATTTTTAGGCAAGGAATTTTTCGCATATACAAACCCTCCAAATATATATTTTGCAATTTTACTTGATATTGGAGCAGCAATTTTCACTTTAGTTCTTTCTAATATTTGAATTGTTAATTTGAATATTTGTAGACAAGTTATCACTAGGTTTGAGCATCTTTTATTTATCACATGATATCTATTGGGTGGTTAAGTTGCACAATAAAATTTATGTAGCGATTAGAAAAGGATGTCTGAGTTGATCCAGCTAAAAAGTTTAAGAAATTTGGAAAATTTACAGGCAAGAACGAAAGAAACACTATTACTTAGTTTGTAGGTAAAGATTCACCTCCGTGGAAAGGATGATTCATTCGGATCGACATGAGAGTTCAACTACATTGCCAGAATCCATGTTGTATATTTGAAAGAGGTTGATCTCCTTGCTTCTATCATGGTACACTCCTCTTCCCACCAAGTCCCTTTCCTCCTCGGTCCACAGAGACAAAATGTAGGACTGGTGCCAACAGTTCATCACGGAAGAAAGGCTACGTCACATCTATGCTTGCTATTTTTTCAGTTTGGGAACTCCGGAAGGAAGGCAATAGCAGTAAATTAGAAAACCTAATATCTCAACTGGCTGCTATTATTAAAAAATTACGGACTGGCTAAAAATTACTCGCGTCAATCATACATTTGTCACTCTTATTTTATTTCTTAGTTGTTGTGCTTACTCCTTCATCACCAAATGACTATGCAAAACATTCACCACATGAAAATATACAGGAAAACAGGTATTGCGTCTGAATCTTCAGAAAATTGAATCGTCCACACCTTTCAAAGAGTTGTAAAACGTCAGTCTACTTATGATTGTAGAATAAATGAATATACTTCTAACATTAAGATTTTAATGAACACTTAATGGAAAAAAACTATTGATTCAGACGAACATAGAGTAAATAATATTTAAGAGATTGGTCTTGATTGTATGAAATGCATAAAATCAAAAGTTAGGTGATCTCGTTTATTGGTGTTATTTTTTTTAAAATTATTTTATTTGGTTAGGCAACATTCATATAACTTCAAGTTATCAATTAATTAAATAATAGGGGGAAGAAAATCAGAAGAGATTAATATAACATTATTGGTGTAGATGATTATGCTAATTGTACTTCGAACCTTTGTTTGATAGCTTCTGATTGGTTTACTCAGAGTTGAAAATTAAGCCATCCACACCAGCAAAAGGATTATAAAAGGTCAGTCTACTTAGGTACCTGCAATTGAACTTAGATGAGATTATAATTGCAGGAAGTATCTTCCTTACTTTTGTGTTTTTTGGTGACTGCAAAGAAAGCTTTTTGAAATTATCAGCCGGTACAACTATGCTCATAGAGGAGATCCATCATAGGGAACTAACAAAGATGTTATTCAGCTCTTTTGCCACTTGATTTAGCCCAGGTTAGTAGTTCGAACTCTTCAAGTTGATAATTTTGAAGACCTAACCAAATGCTTGGTCAAAAAACTTAGCCGTAAACTTGAGGTATTGATGGAGGGTAAAAATTTTTGGGATGACTTTGCTAACTCTATAATTTGCATTAAACAAGAATTTTAGAGGCCTGAACCCTATTGCATTCAAATATAAGATTTAAAATTTTAAGGCTGAAGGAACATCAAAGACAAATGAAACTGCATGTAGCAAAATTTGCAATTCCTACTTTAGTCTTTTCTCTTTCAAGCATGTTTCTTCATCTTCTTTACCATTTTGAATGGTTCCAGAAAGCAATCTTGCTTTAGATGTATGCTTTCCATTTATTTGTTATCTATTAGTCTCTGTTATTAATTGATCTAAACGTCTTTGTTATTAAATATTGATTTAAAGGTAATAAATGTACATATAGTCGCTATGAAGATCCTCTCTTGTGGGCCACAAACACTTTTAGCTTCTCCTTTTCATTTCATTATCACTTTCTCTCGGTCTTCTTTAATTTGTTTCATTTCTTTTCATATTTGTAATATTTTTAGTGTTGAAGTGGTTTCTATATATTGCTATATTTTCTTTGTGTTCTTCTCCAATCTTGGCTTGTTAGATTCTATACACATTGAGTCAGAGCTTCTGCGTTATTCTTTCATCACAATGTAGGGATGTATAGCTTGAAAAAAATGATATTTAGGAACTTCTCTAAAATTGTGAAAACATTAGCTGATACCTCTTCTTAGATACTTGATTGGATTAACTATTTCATTAGAATCGATAATTATTATTTTGTGTATTCACTTTCTACATTTTCCTTGTTGTATTCCATATTTATAGATTTAAATGTCGACTACACCAGAAAAATAATTGATGAAGGTGCTCCATGTATTATTCTTTTTCTTGGCAGTAGTGTTTTGCAAGTTAGTTTGTATAGTATGGAATATGGACTTGAGACTAAAATTATGTTCTCTATCTGGTGTAAATAATTTCATGGAGAAGATAATTTTGGTTCTCCTTATTGTTGTATGTATTAGTTACTAATTAAATTTTTGCCTGTTGTGCAAGACACTTTGATCTTGGAGCTGAGTATGGAAGTGGAAGTGAGCGAAATTTGGGTTGTCAAGGGTCTCACATCTTGGTGAATTTTTTAACATTGCTTTTAAAATTTTTGTACATTTCTTTCAGGTTCTTCTCTGTGCATATTAAATGAAGAGAACGGTAAGAAAGTGAGAGTTGTAATTGCTAAAAACATTGAGAAGATTCATTAGCAAAGGCGGAATGAGAATTATGCCTCTATATTTCATGGTTGATGAGGAAACAGAAATCACGAAAATTGTTAAAATTGAATTTATCCTTTATTCATCTTCAGAGTCGATCCATTTCTCATTTTTAACCTTCTCAGACTTTTTCTTTTTAAGAACCAAAAAGACTTGTGCCAAAATAACAGATGCCAAGAAGAACAAAAGTTCAAATGAGCGAAAAAAATTTAAAGCGAAAGCGTTGTGCCAACTTGTATATCCATATATGTATGGGAGTTTAGTACTTCTTTTTCTAAGTGTGAAGGTTTCTGGGTATTTTAGCAATAAACTTTTTCCTTTTAATAAGCATATTTTAAAAAATTACACTTCAAGTGCTGCTACGGTTCATCCAATTAAATTGGAAAAATAGTATTCTCTTAGCTTCTCATATCATATGTACATTTGATCTAAGATACCATTACTTCTGACATAGATGCAATTAAATATTATCAAAATAATAGACAAATCAAAGTTTGATTTTTCTTTTAAGTCGTTTCATAATTTCAAGGATACACCAAATAACATGTTGGGCCCATACTGGCACGGGCCATGCACATCTAGTAATTAGATAGAAGGCTCATAATATTATCAAAATTTATGAATTGAAGGGTTGCTTTTGTAGGTCTATGAAAATATAAAATTCTTATTGATAAAGTATTATCTAGGATTGGCATCTCTATATATGATGATATCTAGATGTCTGTGCTGCAGAGATCCTCATCAAGAAACGTCTCTCACGTAGCCAAAACATGGAGTTTTTTACATCAGCTCGGATCCAGGCATCCGGTTCCTTTAATTTTGTACAAGTTCATCAAGCAGCAGTGATCAAATGGTGGACTATTGATTGCCCATACAAGCTCAAGCCAATATTGAAAGCAGATTCTACTCTTATTTTATGGCAGCTCTGAAAAAGAAGAAACATAGTAATGCATGGAGTACGTACGGTGTTTACTTAAAGGATTAACATATATTTTGGCCAAAGTAAGGTATTGTTGGCTTCAAAACATTCACTGGCCTCAGATATTCTTTGTAGGCTATAGGCGTAAGGTTTGAGGGCTGGTTAAGATCTGGTGCATGCTCAAGACTGAAGCAAGGAGGATACAAGATGGTTCAAATATCATAGCTGAATTCTGCATTTTTAACCACCTAGTTCCAGTAGTGATGGGAACTGATCCAATGGCCATGAATAAGATTCTTGATGGAATATTAGTACGGTGGTGAATGAGATAAACATATTAAGAAGGGGAGGCAATATGTGCTAGTGAAACGTGTGTTAAGAGAAGATACCTTACAATTTTCTTCATTTTAGATTCTAAACATTGACAAGACATGAATTAGCTAGGACGATCAAAATCAGTCCTACAATCCTATAGTTGATCGATTTCAGCACGTATTCAACAAGATCAAACTTCATCAAATAAAGAGTTTTAAGTTTCAAATTCAAAAGGTTGATCCGATCCTGCATATTCGCTAGTTTGATACATACAACTCTTCAGGGCCTCTTTATTTTCATTGTTTCATAACTCACAGTTTCTCATTCTACTTCTTCCTTGATGAGAGTTTTGTGGGGGTGTTAGATGGCATCAAGTCAAGGCCCTTGGATCTGCAATCTGTTTTTTATATTATGTTATTAGATAGAGCATACCAAATGACAGGATGGCATTGTAGTTGCTTTTCCGTTTTCTGCTTTTGTGTTGGTTTTATTGAATTGCTGCTAAGAGCCATTAAAGAGAGCTCAAGGAAACGAGTTGAGTCCATTTATTTATATTATTGATAATAGGGAAAAGTAGTTTTGCATATGAAACGGTAGGAAGGACAGTTTCTGTGAACAATTTTACCAAATTACCAATCAACAAGTGACCCATGCTTAAGGTTCACCCTGCATGAGCGTTTGACACCACAGGATTTCACAAACGCTCACCAATGATGGATTCAGACCATCATCTCCACTGCAGCATATTTGAGTACCATTTGTATCATAAACAGACGACAGTACCCATTCCTGGACTATGCATTTGGCCAGAATCATCGAAACAGAGAACTGCTCAAGGTCTAAGTACTACAGGGCCCAGAAGCAACAAATCAAATCCAACAGATAGAAAGTAAAGACCTAGGTACGACAAGCTGCAGACAAAATTAATATGCAGAAAACAGCGGATCATTTTTTTATGAAGGAGATAAATTGACATGAAGATCCCTTCATCCAATTTCCTGTTTTTCCTTTCTTCAGCTTATCTAAAGGTAGGTAAACAATTTCTAGCATGAACGTACACATGTATCCTAAGTACCTCATTAAATATTGGCTCTACAAAATTCAGCAGCCATAAAAAAATGGCAAAATACTCCCTGAGCCAAGATAGATGCTCAGCAGCAACACTACTTTTAATATATACCATAGAGAAGTTCAATTATTTTAATGATTGGTGAACCACCTCACTTAAAACTCTGCATAGCACTGCGGCTTCTTGTGAGAAGAGAAGCACCACTGCCTGCAAAATTACGCCCAAACACGCTACCAAAACCAGAGTTCTCATTGCTCCTCTGTTCTGAGGTGAAAACAGCATTGGAAACCTGAGGGCTGCTTTCACTTGACACTTGGACTATATCTGATATACCTCCAAGCTCCTAAAGAGACGAAAACAAAAAGGAACTAATTTCAGAACTGCATAGCCATGGTTAAAGTTTAGAACTTAAAAGAAAATTATTACTACCTTAAGGCCTGAGGCAGATACAGCACCATGCAAAGGACGCTGCAAAAGTTTAAAAGAGGATTAGTTCTTTTAATTAGAAGTCGAAGATGATAAAGAGTTTTATCAGAAACACCTTCAACTAATCCTTTTTGTTGAACACCAAAATTGGAAACAGCAGGTTTCAAAGATACTGAGACCCTTTTTGCTTTCATCATGGTGCAAGCCAAATTAACACACCAACAATTTATAGCTAGCATATTATCCAGCTCCAACAAACTATTGGAAGACCTTAACTTCTGAAGTATTCTGACTGTTCAGACCAAGGTTGAAAATACTTCTATAAGCTACTTACACTCTGGGAAGGCCCCAGTGTCGTGGTGTATCCAGTCGAAGCCAAGTTAGAATTTTGCTAGCAAAAACACTGCTATAAAGCTAATAAACTCTTAAATGGGGCAGTAAATCACTGCCAAGACTAACCAACTAACTAACCTTCGGAGATACACTAGAAGCAGATGGAGATGATGATTCGACTGATAAACTTGGAGGCAAAGACCCAGCCTGCAGAAGAAAATCAAGAAAGCAAAATGCAGGTTATTACTAGACAGTGCATAGTTATCACAAGATTGGCATGCAAAAGAACTGAAAACCCAATATAAAAAGTAAAGAAATCAATCTACAATGTAAAATTTGCCAGGTCTATGAATCTGTTTATACAAAGGCAGCATAGTCAGCCTGTCCACATGACTGAAGACATGCGTTGACAAGTCATAACCAATTTGGTCTTGCAATATAAGTAGATAATTTAACTTTTTAAACTCCCCAGGAGAGGAATACCATAAAAAGACAGACAAACAAGAGAAGGATGAAGAACTAGGTCTGCGGCACGATAAGCCCTTCTAACTATAAACAATGAAACTATTGACCCAGCAATGTAAAAATAGTTTCAGTCTCTACCTGTGCTGAGGAAGCTACTGATGGTAATTCAAGGGCAGGTCTAGATGAGCTAGATGGAGGTGCCTACACATTGAAAACACTATAGTTAGAAGAAAAACATAGGGAAAAAAGATATCAAACATTAAGACAAGTCATACCTCAATCTGCTCCTTGGGTCTACTAGTTTCAATGCTCCTCGCAAAAGAAAGCAACTTTCCCACACCATAGTTTGTTTCATTCTACACAACAGATCATAATACCACCATGACTATAACATGGACATAATTTAAGCTAAATCAAAATTATGAAATTAGCAAAGACAATTCAAGTACCTGTCTCCCTTCAATTCTACTAATTTTTGTCTCCTGGTCATATAAGAAAAGGCGGTTTTCAGTTCCACAAGACAATCAAATTTTGCTAACGAAAAGTAGAGCTGTATAAAGCCCTAATGTAACCGAATGAAGTGGAAAACACGCAATATGAGAGCAAAAACCTTCTGTGTAAGAAGAAAAGCTTAATTGGCACAATAAAGTGAAAACAAAATACATATGGAAATGCTGATGGATGGAAGATCTTCTCACCAATGATTGGACAACAAGATGAACTGACTGGACATCCTCACCAAATGTTCTCACTTTTCCTCGAATTTCAGAAACCTATACATTTAATGATGCTGCATCAATTACAAGAAATCTCAAAGCTTCAACTTAACTAAATGTACAAGCCATTATTGGTCTCACCTCGTCTCTTGTTGCAGCAGTATTATCCACACAATCATCAATTTTAGTATCCACGCGATCAATTCGTGAAGCTAAATGGCGCTTTGTGGCCTGGCAACATAAAGGAACAAAATAAATTTTAAAGACACTAAAACATAGAAGAAAAGGTAAAGTATCTCATGGAACATAAATATTACACCAGGCAAGCAAGCAATGGCCATAGTCTTAACAGACATCTCTCCAGCACGCTTAGGGGTCGTTTCGTACAAAGATTAATAACGGAGGGATTAGTAATGCATGGATTAGTAGTGCAAGGATTAGTAATGCAGGGTTTATTTTTTTCCAAGTGTTTGGTTCATTGCTTCCCACCTCATCTTGTGTTTTTGGTTTATATAGAAAGCTTAATTCCAATTATACCCTTGAATTATTATGGCATTTTCTATTTCATGTAATTGGGTCAAGGTAGATAATTGCTAGACAATATTATTTTTTTATGGCCTTCTAACTAGCTAGGAGAAGAACAATTTTGTTCACATGTTTGCTATTTTCTCACTTGAATGGTTTAAGGGTAAATAATTGTCATCTTAATAAATTGATCAATCACAAAACATCAATTTTCAATTTAAAAAAATAGACCATCAACTTTTAAAACCGAAAAGATGGTAAGCAATCGTAAAATCGAATAAACCATCTACATTTACACATAAAAATTGCAAGTTGTAGTTTTAATATGTATGCAATTTTATAAATTGTTCAAAATACAAATAATTAGAAAAACATATATATATCAACAAATAATACATTCAATTAAGATTACAAACGTCATGTAGTAATATATTTGCTTTTTCAATTATTAAATATTAAACAACTCACATTTCAAATATTATATTGATTTGTATTGGATTTATTTAACAACAAACAACTCTCTCTAAATAATAAAATTTGTAATCTAATTTATTTAAATAAATTTACTAGTACAAATATAAAACATAAATCAAGAAATTAAACAAAATAATTAAAAGGATTTGAAGGATATTTTTATCTTTACATAGATTAACCTCATGGTATTAAATCTCATGTATTACTAATACCACCAAATGAGAGGTATTAGTTATACATCCTAGTAGGGTGACCTAAAATTCCTTCCAAAAATAGTACTAAATAATGTCATACATAATCTATGGACTATTTCTCGTAATACTCCTTACCAAACGACCCCTTACTAACTACCCTCATCACCAGGGGATAGACAACACAAGTACATTGGACCTATTGCATAATTACGAAAGTGAGCAAACCTTGGGCATCTTTTATGTGATAGCCACATGCAGAATGACCTGAACCATGCAGTTCATTTTTCTTTCTTTTTTCTTTTTCACGAGTCACGGTAGATAACTCTGGGTCATGAGTCAGCTGCAGAAAATTCTATAATGGTAAAATATTCAAGGCTCATGCAGTCATTCATGCTTAATAAACTGCTACTTGTAAGTTAACAAGGCCTAGTGCCATATGTCAATGAGCACACATACACAATAGGTGTCTAGATATTAGAAGTGAAATCATGCCAATAATCACCAATTTGAGAGCACTACACCTTTTTACGAAAACCAACAGAATAAGGAGTCATTGTAGGAATGCTACCCAAGGGTTTATCCTAGTGGTCAATGAATGGGTTGAGAACAATGAAGTTTCAAGTTCAAATCTCAGGTGACACAAAAACACTAGATGATTTCTTCCCATTTATCCAAAGCATTGATAAACAGAGTTATTGGCACATGTGCTGACGAGAGGCACCAGGTACCCATGGAATTGGTTGAGGTACGCACTAACTGGTCCGCACACCACGATTATCAAAAGAAAAAGAGTCTATAGTATGAATGTCAAATTCCTAGGCTGATGAGTATTCTGTTGTGAAAGGCAGTTTCACAAGTGTCATTTCAGGGCCCGAAGTTGGGAGGTAACCATCCTAGCTTGATGACTATTTTCATCAACAAGAGTTATGTAACACACAAACAGAGAAGTGCAACCTCAATTGTGAAGTTCAAGATGCGTGGACACAGAGCTGCCACAAAGAACGGTCTGAATTCACCACTGCGTATACAAACTAAGGTAATAACCCTTGGAAACTTTCCAATGGCATTGGACTTGCACCAAGCACACAATATCCACTTCACTAATATGGTACATGGCAATTTCACAATGTAACTATTGTCCAACTCACTCTGAGTTTCACATGTTTGAATATACTAGTTTCTGGGTACGCACTTTGCACGTGTCCTTCATATCAATTTAAAACAACTTTAAAAAATTACATAAATGTTATTAAATAATGTGTTTGAATTATAGAATATTAAAAAATGGTTAAATTCCCAAAAATGGTGAACATCGAACTCATCTAGCTAAGCTCAATAAGGAGAAATCCTACCTAACAGAAGTACATATATGCCTTACTGTGATTTCTGAGGACTTCTATGGGATTATATTAAGAAAATTGTTGTTACTTTTTGTGACCTTACACTGAAAACAAATTAATAACACAAATAAATTCATCATGATTCTTCGAAAAATTGTCAAATAACACAAAAGAAATTTTGAATCTTTAGGTCTATTAGAATTAGAAATGAATGAAGTTGGCTCTATAGCTCCTAAAAATTGATAAGCAACAATGTGAAGTTCTAAAATGACCAACCTGAAAACAAACAAGTAACACAAAAATACGTTTATCACGAATCTTCAAATATTTGTCAAATAACACAAAGTACAAATATAATATGACATAATTATACTTCATGATCGCAATATATTATAATCCTAAGCATCGGGAACTATGAAGTATTATCACTGTAAACCTTATAATAGATCAAGTGGTTAATGAGATTTTATTTGAAAGATTCTAACAACATTGTCTTTCCTTTTTCATAATGATAAAAAAAAAAGTTAAAAATTAGTACAGTATCATAATTAATTTAGACTACACCTCTATTCAGCCTTTGTAATTATGTCTGGTCTTTTAAGCCCCTTGTATAAGCTTGTGTAGAAATTAATTTTACCATGTTACTTTCAGCTCCCAAGGTTTTAGCTACCCACTTGTTTCCTCTTCCCTCTTTCTCCGTGTATTCTCTAATGTTAAGAAGCTTACAAGTTACAACTCCCCTAACACTGCTACTTGAATTGAACTGGCATTATAGATGAATCCATTCAGATTGACTACCGGTAAATTCACTATCATGTATTTACAACACCTAAAATGTAGAATAACACGTGCATTAAATGAAGTACTTTCGACCCCACCGAGCTAAATTTCGCTTCAAATAAATGTATATGACATGATAAAAGAAAGAACTTATAGTTATATTACATAGTTCAAGTAAGAAAATGATTTGTATAAAGTAAAATCTTAGTCGTTTTGAAAACCCTAAATACTAGGACATTCTACATAATATAAGGAAAGAATAAATAACCAAAATTATACTCCTTCAACCTAATTTATGTGATACAATTTCCTTTTTAGTTTGTCCCAAAAGAATGATATTTTTCAATATTTAGAAATAATTAAACATTAAGCCTTCTATTTTACCCTTAATAGATGATTTTAAGTCACAAATATTCTTTCTTAAATTTTGTGCACAATCAAAGTGCATCACATAAATTGGGACAGAGGGAGCAGTTGATTTCAAAGTCATAAAAATTAGAAAAACAATTAAATTACAAGTGTACAATATGAAATCTATTTTTTATGAATAAAAAAGTCCAAAATTTTGTGTAGGGACTTTGTGCTTTTAGAATAGTATAGATAAGCACAGTAAATCAGGAAATAAGAACTTACAGAAATAGATGTATATACACTCTCAAGCTGTTTGGACACACTACCACATGCATCAGATAAGCTCCGCCTGGTCGCAAACATAAATTCAGGAAGCTTCCAACCCTACAAGCATGCAAGTCAATTCTAAGGTGCAGTCGTTGACAAAAAGACTCAGTTAGAAAACATTCAAGCCTATGGCATCCGAACTAGCAGGCAAATAATTTTAACTATTAACCTCCACCTCGTTTACCAATATAAATGTAAATATATTGCACCGAAGGGTGTGGCATAGTGATCAATGAAGTGGGTTGAGGACTGTGAGGTCTCAGGTTCAAATCCCAATAAAGACAAAACACTAAGTGATTTCTTCCCATATGTTGTAGGCTTGGTAGACAGGGTTACTTAGTACCTATTGCTGGTGGGAAATGGCAGGTATCTCGTGGAATTAGTCGAGGTGCGCGGAAGCTGGTTCGGACACCATGGTTATAAAAACATTTTTTCTTTCAAAAAAATAATTATATATATATGGGGGGCAGCACATTTGACTAAAATCATATACCTAAGATAGGCTATGGCAATTGCCTTTTGATTCAACAATTTGTTTGAAAGGCATAGTTTAGGAACAATAAACTTTTGGGAGGAAGGAAACAATCTGTACTCAATCACTCAATTCCTTGAGATAAGGACGGTGTGGTTGATCGTCAAATGGAGGGTAGTTACATGAATTAGAAGACATAATTTGTGCATCCACCATTATCATGACATACAGTTCCATCTAGCAGAAAGAAATAAAAGGTGTTACCTTCCACCAAATATAGCCATACCCCATCACCACAACAACAATGATTATAGTATATCTGCTAGAACCTGAATAGAATTTAAAAAACAAGTTAAATGCGTAAAATACAATCACAAATATCATTGGTCACTGCAAGAAGTAATGCTATAAATGAAGCAGAATGGAAGAGTATTACAGGTAAGGAGATTTTAATTTGCAAGGCATGTGGTACACTGACAATGAGACTACAATTTGTCTTGGCAAATTAAGAAAATGACAATAAATATGTCCTAAGACACTCCTGTCATAAAGGTCCTGTTGTTTCCATCAGAAGACAAAAGAGCCTTTAATTGCTTCCATATACAACTAATGATATGTAGTAACAAAAACCTGATCCACTTGATGTCACGATTGTAACAGATCTATTTGAAGCCAAGAGTTGCAGCTCCTGCCGTAAGCTATTAACCTGTAAAGAAAATCACTCTTTAAAAAAAGTTTTTGTTTCCAGAGCAGCAGGTATGCTGATATTAGAAATCAATTACACCACTCTTTTTTGTTAAGGAACAAACATTGACACTTATAGAAAAGGAGTGATAATGTAAAGCAACTATGCAAAGCACAAATAATTATTTGTAACACTCATCGGTGTTCTTTTTCTTTTGAGCTGCACAAGCATTATATTGAACAATATACAAGGATGGTTTAGAGAAGAAGGGAATCAACAAAAATCTGTTTTAGTGAATGTAAGTTATGTGATCTCCAACACCCAATAATGTTAAATTCTATGAACTGCCAACCCCAAACCCCAAGACCTGCATATTCAAGCTTGACTTCGAGTAGCATATAAAGTCAAGCTCCAAGGACAATCAAGCTTCACATCGATCTTGAGAGTTGAGCATGACTCGTGTCAATAAACTGAACGAGCTTAGAAATGAGTTCAAACTTGAACATCAATCCATGGGCATATTTTCAGGTCTACTGGAAAATTCTAAGACTTTATAGCTTAAGCAAATTTTAGAATTGAATACAGTACATCAAAATGTTTTCCAAGTGTTGCAGAAAATTGGATAATGACCCTCAAATATATCTTTTTTTATTAAGGTAAACTTTCATTACATGACGGTCAAAAACATGCCCGTATACAAGGAGAATACCAAAAATTAGAAAACCTAACGAAAGTATTTTATTTTTCTACGAATGACACAGAGTGTTCTTTACAAACAAGAATCTCACAGATGCACCAAAAGGAAATAATGGATAAGAGGACATTCCTCAAGTGTACAAAATCCCTCTCTACTCCATTAAAAGCTCTATTATTCGTCTCTCTGTAAGGTCCATATGACTGCGTCGTCATCATGGTGACTCGGTCATCTAAAAGTTCAGCTAAACAATGTTTCTTTCACAGTGGCGGGCATCAACTACTCAATTCCAAACCATAAACAAGATGCTATCCGACAATGCAAAAGGAGGTGATTTACGTCGTCCCCTGATTCTTTACACATGACGCACCAACTTACACAAGTAATCTTTCTCTTCCTCAAGTTTTTCGCCATCAAAATTACCCCTCTTGTAGTTAGCCAAGTGAAAAAAATACTTCTCAGTACCCTAGGGATCCACACTGTGATATGTGGAAAAAATGACTCCTCCCTAATCAGAAGCTTCACATAACAGGACTTTAACTGAAAAGCTAAGTTGTGTGGACTCTTCATTTTCAATGCCGCACCCATGTCGGATTCTCCAAAAATACACTACTTTTGGAGAATCTGGGGAGTCCGAGCAACATAACCGAAAAGATGTTGTTTTCCCTGGGCACCATCTCCATACATCTTGTCTATCCTGTCAAGTTGTTTGTTTGTGGAGCAACTTGACCAAATTCCTCAACCTCTTAAATTTGGAAGTTATTCCTAAAACCTCAAAAACAATGCACTTCTCCCCCTTGCATACTCCTTAACTGTTGGAGTAGCATCTCCTTTTGACATGAAATTTTGTACATGTTCGGAAAGGTTAATCTCAAGATGTTTCCGCATCATTTATGTCCCTGAAAACTCACTCTAATCCCCAACACCAAATCACATCAATTATACAACCTAAAAGAACTTATTTAATAGTATATATGTATATTTTTTATACTTCAATTTAAAAAAGGTAAGATGAATAATTCATGAACATAAGCATGTTTTACGCAAGCTCAATTTCTGAATGTGGGCTCAAACATGATCTTAAGTTCATGCGATGCAAGTAAATGTCTTGGCCAATGTCAAGCTTACTGAGCTTAGAGATCCTTATTCACAAAATAGCTCAAGTTAGCCAAACTCCTCTTTAATAAAATACTCCTTCAGATTATCAGCCCACATAGGTGATGAATCGAGAGAAAGATGATGCATGTATGTATGTAAGCATTCAAAATTATATATAAAATAAAAATGAGTCAAGCCAATAAATTTTCAGAGCAATGTTTGAAGTAAAGATTTTTTTCATCAACTTCCTTCGCAACATGATAGCCCTAAAGATGAAAAGATTTCAAAATCTCATAATATACAACCAATTCATTCAACATGTTGTTTGCAGAGGACAATTCTTTACGTCGAAATCAAGTAGTACATCTTAACCCAGTTCATCCTGAAATCTTGGTTCAACTCTTCGCTATGGGGTAAAAGATGCCTCCGATTAGCTCAATAAATTATCCACCTCCCCCATTTCTCCTTCACCCTACACTCTTGTCCAAGAAAAAAGCAAAACTAGAACAGGGGGCATTAACCAAGTAAGCCATATGCCTCAAGAAATGAGGCATGGACCTTTTTAACTTTGAAAACTGAAAACCATCTAGTAGTAAAATCCCTGCAAAGAGACTACTATTGCTGACACATATAAGTTATCATTTTAATCAAATAACTGCATTAGGAGAAGGCATGAAGTGGTATTTTTGTTATAAGAGAGTTGTTATAAGAGCGACATCGGAATTGAGAAAATTTTAGCTCAAAATGCTAAATAAAATAGCTCTTGGTTCAAAATAATAGTTTCCACAATAATTATCATTATCTTCAATAACCATAATACCCTAGAAAAACAACAATCACAACATCATACTCGGTGAAATCCCACATGTGGGGTCTGGGGAGGGCAGAATGTACGCAGACCTAACCACTACCTCGTGGAGGTAGAGAGGTTGTTTTTGAAAGACCCTCGGCTCAGATGTAGCAATTCCAAAGACAAAGAAGAAAATATAGTGAGTCACAAGGAAACAGTGCAAAGTCTACAAGAAGGAAGCAACAACTACAACAAAATAGTGCAATACTTGAAACACAATACACAAAATACTAGAATAAAGTATTGAAAACAATAATAAATAATTATGGATATCAACCACCCTAAGCAAAACAACACTACACTACCTACTAACCTTCTACACTAATATGTGTCCTCCATACCTTTCAATCTTAAGGTCATGTCCTCGGTAATCTCATAATACTCTCGAAAAAAAATCAAGAAAAAGATGGCCCAAGACTTGGACAAATCATGTCTTCTCATCCAGAAAGCAATGATATTAATATCTGATTAAATTGGGAAGACAACTTCTTTCCTAATAGCCTACATCTGTATTGACAAAATAACCTCCACAATCACCTAGCTAGATTGCAGGCTTCTATTGTCAAAGGTTCCTTGCCACATTTGTTTGGCAGCTTAACGAGATACTCCACATGCTGATTCATTCCTTTCTCATTACACCATTCATTGGGACTTTCCCACTGTGTACAACCTACTTTCCATCCTTCAGTTAGTAATCAAAATTTACTCCCAGATCTCATCCAAAGTTTAGTTCCACAAAATAACCAGCCAAAGAAAATGCTAAAGTTTTCTATGCTGATCAAAAGACGTCCTAATCTCCTCTCTCAGACTCTCATATGTGTCGTACACCTACTGACAAAATATTGTGTATGGCACACCCCAGATACGAATATCAATCTTCTATAATCCACGCCTTCTTCCTAATCCATCAAGAAACTTCCCAACCGAATTTCCAATTGTCAAGAATGACATGCAAACTTTAGCTTTACAAGAAATTTTAATCTTCTAACTCCAGCATAATCATAAAATGAACAAACTAAGAACAAACACAAATTCCAAAGATGAGTAAAACCATATGCACCAAACATGAACAAGCAAGAGAAACTGCAAAACCTGCTGCAGCAAGGAATCATTGCGTGGCTTTGGAGTTGAACTGGTTGATTTATCTTGTCGAATTTGCCTCAAGGCAATCTACAGTCAGAGGATACAATGTATTAGATTTAGCTCATTTCGAATTGACATGGTAGAGAAACTAGAAACAACACAACCAAAACTCTCAAAACACTAAACTGTGAATAACAACCAGACCTTAAATGCGCCGGAGAAAAAATCGGAGACATCTGGCAATCGTCCTTCCTTAGCAAGTACTGACCCAACAATGCCTGCACAAATTATGAGATACGTTATTCAACACCACCAATACCATTGTTATTACCTTATTAACTTTATTTTTTAACATATCAATTTTAGTTCCTAAAATGAATATTATGCAGAACAAAATAAAGTTGCAACTCTTAAAATGTCTTCAATAGTTCTTTCTCTCAATGTGAACTTCAAAAGTTGTATAAAATCACTATCATCTCCTCCAGCTATTCTCCTTCTGTCTTATTTTCACATCATACCTTGTTTTCCAAAACCTTCTACTCTTCTTCTTTGCTTAGGCATGAAAGACACACAAAAAGTAATAAAGGGTTATTGCACCCTGACTAGGGAAAGGGTATATGTATTATGACGTATTTGTTGTTTTCACATCTCAAATACGACAAAGCAACTCTACTTTTGCATCAAAAAAGGCGGTAGATGTTTTATTTAAAGCTGACATTTCTAGGTCACAAACTTCTAGAAAAACTGATGAACTTCTGTTGCAAATAGGTATTCACGTCTGGTAGTTGGTTAAAGCTATGGTACTAGAAATACAGGGATAAGTTATGATGAAACTATGTACATTATTTTAAGTCAGAACATGTATTAGTTATTCCATCAATAACACATGAATTCCCTCAGTAACTTAAACATTTATTAGTTATGCGAGTTTCTAAATTGCAAAACAAACAATGTATTAGGTGTATTGAATTTTATACATAACAAAAGATATTACTTATCCAGGCTCCTTACCGGCTACCAATCGACCCCTTAGGGTTTTAGTAAACCACTAAATTTGCAACTCAAAACTTGTGATACCAACAAAAGAGAACATAATACGCACAATACATGTAATTCGCCACCAAGAGTGTAAAGTATCAACTAAAATTCTAGCAATAGTCACTATCGACAATACAACAGAGCAAGAGAGTACGAACCAGCACCAACGAGGATAGTGAGCTTGCCGAGAGGTAGAGCCATGGAATTTCTCAGAATCGATCATGAAATAGAGAAAACCATTGATTTCTATTTGCAATGGCAGAGTTGCGTCGTGAGGTGAGAAATTACAATTGACAACTTGGAGAACAAGGCAGAGTCCTTGATCGAGAGATCAACCCTACTTTTGTGAAGCTTACTTTTAGGGGAAAAATATTGTTTAATTTAATTAATTCATAAATATGAATAGATTTTTGTATTTACGAAAAGGACCTGGGTGTTGGTTTTGGTACAAAATAGGAAGAATATTGTTTTATGCTTTGCAATTGCTGCCACCGGGAAGAATTGGCTGTGAAGGGGCTGAGCAGTCCAGAATTTTTTGGGCCTGGCCGGTTCCATATCGGGCCGGTCATGGGGCCGCTATTGTTTAATGGGACCTAGTTTAATTGTGGAAAAAATTATTAGAATATTAAATTTAAGATTTTAATTTACATAATATAAATATATTAACATTTGAATTACAAACATAATGTTAATTACAAATGTGACGATTTATCTATCTATATTATATTATATTAAAAGCCATTAATAGCATGAAGATCCTTAGAAATGTTATTTGAATTTTTTGTCATTGATTAAAAGAATTCGTTTTAGACAAAATAGTCTTTTCATCGTTTTCCTAAAAAATTATTGTATTAAAGTATTATTCTAATATTTAATATTTTGAAATTAATGAAATTTATAATTACCAAATCTTTACTAATTTGGAATAGGTAAGAACTCCTAATATAGTCTTGATTTATATAAGGACACTATTTAAATTTAAAATAGATTTGTAAGAGGTAAGAATTCCTGATATTTAGTACTTTAAATTTGACTAAAATTTTACTTTTAAAATTATTATTTTATTTGAACTAAGTTAAAAGTCAAATCATTTATGACTTTAAATTCAATTAAATTAAACTCCATTATAATATGACTCAATTTTGAATATATACTTTTAATTTTAAAATCAAACATGTAAACCTCTTGTCGGTAGAAATTCTTCACTTAAATTCTTTGAGTTATATTTATAATAACTAAGTATTTAGAGCACAACGAGCAACACATATATTTAGATAGGACCAATGGGCGGGGGCATGCATTTCTGCCGGCTGCCGCCCTATTTAAGTTGTCAATCAAAATTTCCTATTTTACAGTCTTCAATTGCCTAGAGTGTTTATAAAGGGTTGCATGTTTTCAATATATATAGTTTAATGATATGATCCATCGGTGGCCCTCTAAAGTGGATACAAATTTTCACTTAGACCATTTAACTAACATTTTAAACACCTCATGTGGAGGTCTGTGATATCATTTTAACACTTTTTGTATATTTTTAAAACTAGCTTAAGTGTGTATCAAAACGCCTACGTGGAAAAATAAATTAATCACATGTGACATGTGGAATTTTCTTTTATATTTTTTAAAAAACTCACTTTTACTTTCTTTTTTCTTCAGAATATCTAACCTCATTTTCTTATGCCTTTTAGTTCTTTATTTGTGTTATTCTTTTTCAAACCCATTAAAATTCATGTGTTCTTGTGCTATATAAAATTTTGATTCATTGTGTTAAATTCCTTAATTCCTCCTTTCTTGAAAATCGAAATGCAACTTGAAAGAAAAATAACAATATTATTTATATATGGTGAAGATGCAGACGGAGGAATAAAATGGGAATTTAGTTATAAATGCTATGGGAAAATGTTGTTCAAGGAGTGTAATAGCCTATTCCTCCAATTTTTGTTGTTAATGATCCAGAAAATTAGGATAAATTGCAATAAGAAAACTGAAAATTAAGAGAAATTTTCATTATACTTGGGGACAGAAGTTTTTTATTTAGTTGTAGTAGTAAAGCTTAAAATTTATGTGATTTGATTTTAAAAAGAAAAAGAGTATCACAAATTCTTAGAAAATGATGATTGTCTTCTTTTTTTCTAGTGAGGTTGCTAAAGAAATTGACTCTGTTGACACCCAATTTTGGACATCCACAATATAAATTAATCATTGAGCTTCTTCAATTTCTAACGATTTAAAATAATTAGTTTTATAAAAATTTCAGAAATAAAATAAAATAAACATAGTTTGCAAGTTATGTTAAATAGTTTTGTCACTTTTTTTAATATATATGTTTTATATAGTTATGTATATAATTAATGCATTTTATGAGTATTCAAAAATCATCTCGAAAAGATTTTATATTTTAAATACTTTATTAGCAAGGGTTATAATTTTGAATTAATGAATTTTATGAAATTCAAAATACTTTCAAGTTATTTTTAGAGTAATATTATCATTTTAAATAATTTTAATAATTTTAAATAATAAATATGTATATTTTTTACAATCACATTATTTTATAAATATTTGAAAATCATCACAAAGATTTTACATTTTAGTTAAATATTTTATGACTTTAAGTTATAGTTTCGAGTTAATTAGTTTTTAATTAAACTAATTATTTTATAATAGAAATAATTATTATTATTCGTTAAGATTAAAAAGCTCGTTAATTAATTAATGTTAATTCGTCTTATTTAAATTTTAACCGAATTTACTAATTAAATTTAATTCGGCTATTTTCTTAACCACACATGGCAAATTAATCCTATTACCAATCTAAACCCAATTCAAAATCAATTTTGGGCCCAATTTCCTCCAACCCATTCCAACAATAGCAATACAATGCCATCAGTAATAGGCGACCCATCCTCAACATTCAGCAGTCTAATTCCATTCCAATTCATCCGACCCAAGCCCATTTCTTCGCCCAAAATTATTCACCCTTTCGTTCCTCTGTTCACGCAAGAACAACAACAGCAAACGCGTACAAACAACGCAGCAGTAATAACCATACCCTACGACCCCTATACTCATCTTTTTCACGTGACCAAGATGAAATCAAGATGCTTCAGTCCAGCAAAACCGAAAAAGCTGTGAACCCATAACCCTCGCCTGCATCGTCCAACCACCCTTACGTCCTTTCTCCCCTTTTTTTCTAGGATTTTCTGAATCCCTTCACTGTTGCCTAAAAAAGAAACAGGCATATTCAAATTCAAACGAATTTTACCCCCTAAATGACCCCAACTTCCCCTATAAATGATCCTTTACATTTAAGTGATTGGGAAAAGTTTTGAAATTGGGAGAAAACATGTTCTAGAGATTGGTTCTTTGACAATACTCCTTTTACATTCAAGGATTTTTAAAACAATTTTCTAATTCTAAGTTCTAAGAAAGGTTTCGTCTGAAGTTACTTTGAAATTCTTGGTTTGCTGCTCGAATCGAAGTTGTGCGAGAAGTCCTTTTGCTAGTCGTCTCCAGTATCGCTACTCCAAGAAAGGTAAAAAAAAAATTGTGTTTATCCAAAGTTTGCTTACTGTTTAATCTATATATATATATATATATATATATATATATATATATATATATTATTATTTTATTATTATTTATTTATTTATTTTGTTTGTATTGGTGATATATTCTCTGATTTGGCCTTATGAAGCTATGGAAGTGTATCCAAACTATGAAGTAATTTAGAGTTTTTATTCTGTGTAGATTATGATCTTAACCTTGTCAAGAGTTGATCTTTTGCTAGGTAGTTTAAGGAAGATTAAGACAATATTAGTTCGTTTCCGATCGCTTTGATTTCGACGACATGACATAAAATAAAGTGATAGCATGCTCTTTCCTTTCAGTAATTTCTCTGTTTTATTTGGTTTGCGTTTCTAGTCGTTTGCAATCTTACATTCTAGTTTTGTGAGATCAACTAGCTTCTAGTAATCTGTATATATCGTAATATCTAATTTTTAGTATGCTTCAATAATATGAATATGTAGTTGTTGTAATTCGTTGTCTTTTCCCGCATATATTTGATTCCTTTCAATTCTAGCATTTTCATTATGAATATATGAGCAGTGTTATTATTAAGTGTCTCAAATATGTTTTTATACATAGTTAAGATTAGTCAGCTCCAGTAATGTAATATACTACGATTATGAGTCGTAATTCCTCTTGTTGAGTGTATACTTATGACGGTCTAGGTTAAATATTTCCTCTCCATTAAAGAAAGTATGAAGCCATCCGTGTACATTATTGGCATAGGACCGATTTGGATTCTGAAACTCTCTTCTTCTATGCCCAGATTAGTCCTTAAATGCTCGTCCCTTCGGCTTTCATGTTTAGATTAGCTAAAATGGTGTTAATTGTCCAGACCTTCTTTGTGTTGATTTGCCCGTATTCAGTTTTAAAGCATTGTACTATCGCCTCTGTGTTACCTCACATGTTTCTTAATGTGTCTACGCCAGCCCTCTTTTGTGATTTTACTGTCACTTCATAGTTAATATAGTTATTTGGTTCTAATGATATTTTGTTTGAGTCCACTGTATGATTCTCTTTTTGAAGCTTCTATTTTCTTTTTAATATTTTTTTTTTAAAATAAAAAAAGAAGAAAAAAGTATACATAGAAATTTATGCAAGTCTTCTTGCTTGTTTCTTTTATACCATTTTGAGATAATGGTATAGTAGTAAATTTTCTTTTACCTATCATATGAGTCCAACAATTACTCATGACTAAATAAACATAGCTCGATACTTCCTTGAAGTCTTCGTTGTATGACATCACTAGTTGTCGGGTGGATTTGTGAAATTACATGAAATTAGGATATATATCTTAGTTTTGTTTGAGTTTGAAAGGATGAGTTGTGGTTTTTGCTCCAAATGACAAACAATGGCTCTTTTGATTAAGTCAATTATTTGTATAAACGTGATTTCCATTTTTTTTCTTTTTTTTTATCTTATTTATTTTTTATTGTGTTAAGCGAAACCATGTTCTTTACTTGCTAAATGTACGTTGGAAATTGCTATCTTTTATATATTAAAATTGTCACCACAATTTAGTTTAGTAGATGCTATTATGTTAAGATTAGGTGACCTTTTCCTATGCTACCAATTTGTTTGAGTTCTATCACAAGATATACTATGATTTGTTGCTTTAGTTGAAACACTAAGTTCATATGTGTGATGTGTATGATGTCAAACTTATGTTGCCTATGTGTT